CATGAATTTTAGTTCAGGAGCAAGAGCTACAGCCATAATTAGAGTTTTAAAATACTGATTTGATTTAAAATGATAGAAACTGTCATGCATTAGGAAGGATTCTGTCTTCATGATACTTTTAGGTTAAAAGTCATACAAATAAGTGAGCTCATGAAATGGTCTGCTATAAGAGCAGGGCCAAGACTCCTGGCTATTGTACTGATAGACTATAGAGAGTAATTGGAATCAGAACTAAATTGCAAAAGTGTTCTCTCTTTCTTTCTCCTATTATGGGGCAAACAATGCTGTTTACAGGTTTGGTAACTATTTATAAATCATTTCCCATTACAAAATTTACCCATCAAGTATATTCACTGAATACATATATAGATATATCAAAAGCTAATTTTCTTAAAAAATGAGTTAAAGGATTTTAGTATTTAATCTCTTTATGTATATTAAGTATTTCCTGCATTTACAATAAAATCATTTATTTATAGAACTTGGGAGGAGACATGTATCAGACTAAGCACCAACTAGTTCTTATATATGACTTTAGTGTCTTATGTTAGAAAAATGTAATATATATATTATATATATTATATATATATATTATACATATATAGTCAATAAAATATATGATGTAAGAATTTTCTCAAAAATTAAAAGCAGTATTATTAAAATTGTTATTTCATATAACCTACAGATTTTTTTTGCTACTGTTGTTATGTACAATCTGGTTTGTAACATGAAAACCCTACATGTGGGTTAAGGCTAGAAGATTTAGTTAGATAATTAGCATTTTGAAATGCTTCATGGACTAGCTAGACTTAGTGAAGCTGAAGGTCCGGTTGTACTTGCTTATGATTCATAATGCATAAGAAATTACTGGCATACTTGGTACAGATTTATATACATAGCTAAATCTTGAAAGAAAAGAATAAATTCTCTTAGCATGATTTAATTTTTATAAAGGTTAAAAGTATCCTTAATGGAAACTGAATATCAAATTTGATAAATTGTTGACTTTGGGACTTATAGAGATATCTCAGTGGTTAAAAACACTTGCAGGAAGTAAAATATAGTGCTAAATCCACAAAGCTAATAGCTTACAACTGTTTATAACTCCAGTTCCAGGAGTCCAACCCTGTCTTCTGGCACATGCAGATGCTACTATAAATGCTTACTACACACACATATACATATATGTATAGCTAAAATAAAGTTACATTTTTAAAATAAGTGTTGATTTTTATAAAATTCTCAAACATTTCATATAAAAATTACTCATCAAAGAAAACCTAATAGTAATTTAGTGTTTTAATTACTTTAAAGAGAATGAACTATATTTTTTAAATAATTAATTACAGTGAATTACTGGTAATATGAGTGAAAGGATAAAAATATCTTATTGTCAAATTTGACAAATTAAGTTCTATCCCTAGGTTCCATGTATAGGAATTAAATTTGTATAGGTAATAAATTTCAGAAATTTGTTTTCTGTTCTCCTAGGCCATTACACACACATGCACGCGCACACACACACACACACACACACACAAACACACAAACCTCATACACATATATTAAAAAAAACAAAGCCAAAAAAAGCCAAATGAATGAAGAATTTTTAAGGACAAAGTGATATAGAACAGTTAGTTATTTTGACTTTGCAAATTTGTTTAAACCAATAATAATATTTCAAGTTTACAGAAATTATTTAATGTCCAGAAAGAAATAAATTTAGGGATAATTATGGATTCTGGAGAAAAGGATTGCATTAGGAACTTGTAGTGCCTAGTAAAACATAAACTAATTTACTTAATTACCTTTATTCTAGCCCATCCTTTCTTTATCTCATTTCTGGGAGACAATTATTTAATACATAATATACTTATGGATGTTAAGGGATACAATGAACAGCTATGCTAATCCTCCCTCTCACATTCTAGAGTACATAGGGGGCTGAGCATAAAACAACACTAGCTCAGTGTTCAGAAATTAAAATAATTTCTATGGACACGAGTGGGAGTAAAACCACTGACTTGATGATAAATTGATTACTTAAAATATTACTATCAAAGCTTACTCTTGTTAATATATTTTTCACAGGTTCTATACTTCTTCAAATTCAAAACCTAAGGCATTGACAACTCATTGAAATAATTTAAACACTAAGGGCTCTAAACTCCCGTGTTCACTTGGAAATCAATGACCAACCATTTAAAAATTATAAACATTTTTTTCTATGAAAGTATATTTTTAAACCATTGTGGTTTTCTTTATGCTACCGTGATAAATCCTATGACCAAAAGCAACTTGGAGAAACAGGTCTTTATTTCAATTTACACCTCCATCATAGTCCATCACTGAGTGAAGCCAGATAGAAACTTGAGGCACTGAAGCAAAGATATGATCAGGTCACTTACTGGCTCAATTGCTCTTGTTTGGTCAGCTACCTTTCTTACAGAATTCAGCTCCATCAACTTAGAGGTGGCACCACCTAAAGTGAGTAGAGCCCCTCTAAACCAATTAGAAACTAAGAAAATGTCCCACAGACATCTCCACAAGCCAATATGATGAAGGGATTGACAAGACCTTTTGTCTTGTCAGATGACTTTTTTCTGTTTTAGGCAAATTGACAAAAGCTAATGAACCTACTATAGTCAGAATCCAGTTTAAATAATTCAAGGCAAGATTTGGAAAACAGTGGTATCCTGTTGTGACTATATGATAGACTTAGTGCTAAGGATGATTAATAGAGGAAGACACTGAACGTGAGACAGGTTAAGTCATTTTATTGTGGTCACATAGTCAATGTTTCGTAACCAAGATTAGAAATTTCTCAACCTTCAAAGTCCTAAGATTTTGTACCTCATGATCCTGATTGCAAACTAAGAAAATGTTTTATCACTATAACTGATCTTAAAGTTTTGTATTCTAGCTCTCTTGCAGATTCATATATCATCTAGCAACAATATTCAATCTGAATCCCAGAATCTTTCTGTTTTAATGTTATATGGAGCAAAGATATGTTTTAAAAGAGTTTCTAACCACAGTGATCCTGGATAAATCCATTAAACCATTAGTCATGTAATGTTTATCCTAATATTCACAATTTTAACCATTTGCAATACAGAAAGATGTTATTAATTAAATATCCACACCCATCCACTTATGATAAAATTATTGTAGTAAAATAGTAGTAAGTTGAAAATTTAAGTCTACAGTACATTTTATGCATGTAATATTATTCCAAGGGTCTGAGTCTGAGCATGTCTAGTTCAACTGGGTTCAGATATTTAATCTAAAATTAACCAAGCATTATTCAAATCAGAATCTGTTTTATCAAATAGTGGTATGGAACCATGCAGATTTGTACTTATAGATATGCATGATATAAACATGAACATACTACTTAAATAACATTGTTGACATAGTATAGACCATTGATTGTTACCCTCATGATTTACAATGGACTGGAAACATTGACTGCATCTAGTTAGCTTATAAAAATATCATAATACAATAAAGGATATATGATGTCTATTTAATTCATATTACTCTGACGTCATCTTAATATTCAAAAATCACTGTGGAAACATCTTAACTATGAAATGTTTATGACCCTAAAAATCTGCGACTTGAGATCACTTAGCTATAGCAGCCTTTTCTGCTCTGTGTAAATCTCAGACATGTGTTTTAGATAAAGAATGTTGCCAAAAGATGTTGTGTTACAAGACTAATGTCTAGCTTGACACTGCTGGTAAATGCTAGAACTCACAGATGTGTGGCATACAGGAAGTTCTCTTGGAGAGTATAGTTACACTCTAATTCACCTTTCTTTATATCTTTTAATTCTTGGCCATGAATTGAGACGCTTTTCTCTCTCAAGTGCTTCCTGCTGTGATGTACTGCCTAGCTAAAGGTCCAAGAGCAATAAAGCCACCAAACACATAAAGGATTCATTAAGACTCTAAGAGACAAACCAAGTTTTATATTTTATAAATTTTCTATCTCATAAATTCATTACAATGATATCCAACTATAACATTGAGATGCTGGGTATTTGGGGGATTTTTCAGCTCAGTTTGTTTTATGATAGTATTGATAATGAAAGCTGACAAATTGTTTCATTTCTGATATGATTTATGAATAAAAAGATTTGGTTGTGTTTATTATTATAGTGGAAATAGTATTTATTTTACGCTTTTTCTAAGGATTGGAAAAAGATGTATTAGTATTTCAATATCATATTGAGTAGGAAGGAAAACATGATTTCTTCAATTTCTGCAATATATATATATATATGCCATGCAACAATTTACTGTAATAGACACACACATTTTGAATATTGAGAAATGCAGAGATGCAAAAAACTGTTAAAGATTCCAGCTAAAAGTAGGTGACCTGATATTGGCTTCAATTCTGTCTGAACTTGGATATACAATTTTGAGAAAATATTTTACTTGTGTACAAAAGAATTCTAAATAAACACATCTTAAAATTTTGATAAAGGCAGAAGAAATAAGAAAATTATAGGTAGAATTACAAGGAAGAAACTTTGGGTATAATAAAAAATCTTAAGTCTATATATTCCACATTCCACTATTACATTTCATATAAAAGTATAATCATTTTTAAGGAATGCTATTAAATGAATAAAATAAGTGATTGGTTATAATGATAAAACATGGTTAAAAAGGTCCAGTGTTATGGTAAAGACAGAGAATATTAGGAATGAGAAGTTGAAGTCTTAGCTTTGTGTCTTTCAGTAACATTATAAAGATCTATGAATATAGAATAAAGAATATGGTGATGGAGAGATGGCTCAGCACTTAATAAGCTCTTCTGGATCACATTGATTTGATCCATTGCACCCACATGGCAACACAAGAAGATCTGTAACTTCAGTTCTAAGGGATCCATGACATCTTCTGACCTCTGTGTACACTGTGTGCACTGGATCTATAAAACATACATGTAAACCAAACACCTACACAAAAAGAAGAAAATAATTGAACCTCATAAAAATATTATAACAATCTACAAACAAACCTAGTTGACTACCATTCAAGAGTACTACAGACAATGTGGCTAAATTGGTATACAGCTCTTGCTTCCATTACAGCAGATACATTACAGTGGTGGCAATGAGACTTGTAACATTTTAAAAAAGAAAGTAAAATATAATAAGAAAAAAATTAAGCTACTACAGAGATAAAATCTTGATGTTAAATGTAACAAAGTAAAATACACCAGGACAATGGGTTCTGACTATTAGTGAGAAAATATGGAGGCTAATAATTCATACAGAAAAAAAATTAAAGAAACTATTATTAAAGTATATTAATTTACTGGTATCTCACTGCTTCAGAAAAATTACAGGGGTAATTCTGCTCATTAAACTTCTGAGCCACCATAGCAAATTATAATGAGTTGCTTATTAAATTACCAATTTTCTGTAACTGGTATGATTCATCAATTTCTCTTTTATTCTTAGTTTTCAGATTAATATCTAAAAGCACAAATTGCTTGACATGGCTCTTCAGTCAAACTTGGTGTGATTAAATGTTCATGGTCACTAAAGCATTTCACATAACTGATTGAGTAGATTTTTTCCCAACTGCTGTCCACAAAGCCTTCAGAAATTCACAGTGATTTATATTTGTGAAGAAGACCATGCCGTTTATTTACTTACTCAATATGCACTAATTGCTTTCTGTGTATCATCCTTTGTAGAGAGTCAGTGGAGTACATCTGATATCATTAGGTATTATAAAGAATAATTCTGCAGCATTTGGAGGTGGAGAATGTTGCAGGTAATTTTTTTAGACTGCATAGAGAACACTATCTCTCACATTGTACATTGCTCGAGAAGTGTTCCCAGAAAAGACACAGTTAGCAAAACATCTCCAATAAACCACCCAGGGGAAGAGATGAGCAAAGATAAAGGCTAAATAAGCTTAGTTTTCAGACTTTAGCCAAGTATCAGGCTTGCCATAGTGAAAATAACGTTAATAGTGGCAAATCAAATGAAGAGTATACTTGAGTTCAAGACATGTAGAAAGATACATGGCTCAAAATAAGTATCTTGCATTGAGTTTTGATCCTAATAGGAGCATATAGAATGTTTGTATTGTTATATCTAAACTATCTAAAAGACCTTTAAAGATCTATATTGATTGTTTGTAAAGTAGACCTTCTGTGTTATAAAGCTATTGCATCAGACAAGGGGGAAATTATATGTATCTCCTAAAAGGTGGTAGTGGCAGAGGATCTAATTATGTTAAAACTATTCAGATTGTAGATGTAAATACACACACACACACACACACATACATACATACACACACACACACACACCACACACACACACACACACACAGAGAGAGAGAGAGAGAGAGAGATGCAAGCATGTGCACACAATAGCACATGAGCAAGCACACGCACATGCATGTCCAAACATACACAAGCACACACACAGAGTGAGGCCAGCAAAATTGATGGATACTTATGGAATGTTAATTTAGAGAATCATTATTGTTTCAGAATAGTTCACTTAAGCCACTGGGACAAACAACGGCCCTCTTTGTTAAGATGAAGAACAGTCACAGGATTTGGTATTTGGCAGTTGAAGAAATATTCTGAATATTGGTTTGAGTACCCCTTAGTTACTCATTTAGAAATGTCATGTTTGGAGATCAGAAAGTACAGCAGCAGACTGAAGAAAATCATGATGTTAGAGACACCATTATTCAAAATCATTAAAATATGGAGTCAACCTGTGTTTGTCAATGGATGGAATGATTAAAATGTGACATATACATAATGGCATAATGCATAATACTCTGCAATAGGACACGATAAAATCCTCTCATTTGTGATATGCTAAACTGAGTAATGTTTTAACCTGTACATGGAAAGGCAAGTATTACATGATTTCACTCATATATGGAATCTAAAAGGTTGACTCACTGAATGTAAACGAGAATAGTACAGAAAAGAATGTAAACAAGACTAGAATAGATGAGAGAAGATAATTGATTCCCATAGAGAGAAAAAGAGAGGGTTTTGTTTTGTTTGTTTGTTTGTTTGTTTATAGATTCAATATGCAATTCTATGACTGTATTAGAGGAACAATGTCTAATACTCTAGAATACTACAAGATGGATTATGGTTAACACAATTTTATGATATATTTAAAAATAACTAAAACAATGACTTTAAGTATTCACATCACGAAAATATGTCTTTTGAAGTGAGAGGTCAAATATTCAGTATAGTTTGATATGCAATATATAGGATTGACACATCACATTCTATGTTATAACATGTATATTCGTTAGTAAAATAAATTGAGGTAGGCAGAAATAAATAGGAGGAGCATATGGGGATAATATAAATTTATCTATTATGATTTTTTAATAAAGAATAAATACTTGTTGTCAATAGCTTGAGTGTAAAAGGAAAGAAACATGATCATTTAAGATAGTACAAGTTTATTAAGGACTGAGTGAGGAGATAAGACCGGGTGAGCTGTCCCACACTAAGGCTCATGTTTACAGACTGACTGTAATATCTACAGTCTACTGGTTGCAGTGATGGGTGTCATAGTAGCAACTGAGGAGCACTCTGTTTTGATTGTCGTTTATTTGATTGTTTGTCTGTTTGCTTTCTTGGAAAATAAGAAAATAAATACTTTAATAAACATGAAGTAGAAACTGGAAGATTGGGCTGTATGTATTCGTTCACCAAGAGTGTGGACTTAATCTACAAAAGTGTAGTAGGATTATTGGCAGCAGATTTGGCTTATGGAAATTGTAGTGCTAAGTTTAAAGGGATGACACTCAGTGGGGTATTCTCCTTCCCCTCATTCATCTGTGCAAGGCAAGGCAGGGTGACCCAGTGAAGCAAGTGTGACATTTCATTTTAGATAGGTACTTAAAGTGGTTGTGGGAGTCAGTATATTGATTTTTGTAGTCAGAATGTTTGCATTACTTTTGCCAAGGAAAGCATTGTCTGTTCAGCCTTACGATTTGGAGGTAATTTCTTCCCAAATGGTTCATAATGATACAAAAAGAGAGTTAAAAGCTTGAACTCCTCAAGGAGGTTTCAACATTTGCACAGTTTCACATAGCAATTACCTTTGGTGATGTGTCTTTGTTATAACATTTAATGTTCATTCAATTTTCCGTTGTCTTTTTATTTGATGAAAAACCCCTATATGAATTTTTGTCCGGAATAACTTATGCCTGTGTCCTGTCCTTTTATGGCTTTTGTGTCCCTACTGTCCTTTCCTATAATTTTATTACTCAATTATATTTAAATGTCTAAAGAAAAATAATTAAATTGGAAGCTAAGTATATAAAATATAGATGAATTAAGGAATTAATTGTGCATTCCTGGAATTCCCCTTATCCCCTTATCGTACTGTCTATTACTTATCTATGAGTCCTCTCTCAACAATTTCTTTTTCTTGGTAATTATTTTTTTCCAAATCTGTTCTATTCCCTAATCTTTGAAAACATTTACTTCTGATTTTTTTCTGATTTTTTTTTTTTTTTTGGTTTTTCGAGACAGGGTTTCTCTGTGTAGTCCTGTAGTCCTGGCTGTCCTGGAACTCGCTCTGTAGACTAGGCTGGCCTCGAACTCAGAAATCCACCTGCCTCTGCCTTCCAAGTGCTGGGATTAAAGGCATGTGCCACCACTGCCTGGCAAGATTTACTTCTGAATATTAGCCTTGCTGTTTGCAATCATCCTTTGATTTAAAGGTGTTAGTTTTTTTTAAAATCAAGTTGTTTTGTGAAAATTACCATATTCAATAAAATTTAAATGTCTACTTGTTGCTATGTGGACATTCCAACAGCTTATAGCTATACAAAAAAGAGATTGCCTGAAGAATAAATTTTTCCTCAATAAATTAATATATTATTAAATTAAATGGTTAATAGCTACTACTTTGTATTTTACTAAGATTAAATTTGAAATGACATGAGACAAAGGAATAATTCATATTTATCACATAAAATTTACTGTGGATTTGAGTATTTGAGTGTATAACTTTAACCTTCCTGATGAAACTACTATGAGCTACTAAGAATGCTATTAGGCCTGTTTGCAGATAAAGAAACTGAAGGTAGTTGAACAAAAATGGTAAGCTCATCAAAACTATGAAGTATATACATGACTTGTGTGTGCATGTCTGTGTGTGTGTGTACTTAACACTATACTCATCTACACTCTACTCATTTGCCCCAGGATTCTGTAACAGTTGATTACACAAGGAGAATATTACACCTAAACTTGATTAATCTAGATAATTATCCTAGTTCTGTTTCTATTGTCATAAAGACCATGTCCAACAGCAACTTAGGAAAGAAAGGGGAAAGGATTATTTACCTTACAGGTTACACTCCATCCATTGAGGGAACTTAGGGCAGAAACTCTAGGCAGGAGCCTAGAGGCAAAATATGGAGACAATCTGGAAGAATACTGATTACTGGCCTGCTCATCCTGCTTTCTCAGAACTCAAAGATCTGCCCAGGCATAGCACTTCCTTAAATGAGCTCCATCCTTGTACATCAATTATTAATTAAGAAAATCCCTCTTGGGTTTACCTATAGGCAAGAAAAAAGGGCAGTTGACAAAGAAGTAACCAGAACAACAACAATGTAAACAGATGAGAAAATCAGCAATATCTAATATTTTATATATATATAGTTTTATATATATATATAGTTATAGTTATATATACAAATATGTCTTCTAGCATAAAAAAGGGGAAACTGAAAAACTGTTCAAACGTATATATGCATCTGTACGTTATATATGATGTATGTGATGTATATGATATACATGATGTATATGCACATACACATGCATATGTATACAGCAAGTTGTTACTCATTGGTTTTCAGTCATTTATTTCAAAGGGAGAAGAAATTTTCTCGCCTCTGCATTCATGTGAACAAAAGTTTAAAGACGATACATAATTGTTAGAAGGTCCCTTTTGTCCTTTTCTTTCTACTGAACATTTGTTATGTCATGTTATTTAATCTGTCTCCAATGTATGTACAACCCTTGAAAATGTTTGGGTTGAGCATTCACTCTTTCAAGTTTTTCCAGATTCCTTAATTGACCTGCCTTGGTTTCCTTCCCCACCTCCAGA